AAAAAAAAAAAAAAAACAGCAAAAAGGAAAGGAACTGCCCCAATTTGGAGCACAAGTCCAAGACCAAAGTATAACATGACTCACCTCAAGCATCTTCCTTGGACATGACTTTAGTCCTGTGCAATAAAAACTTATTAAGCCAAAAAAGAACTAAAATACTCATTCAAAGAACAAATAAATAAAATATTAATTCAAATGCTACAATAGGCTTTGGAGCTAAGATCTCGGAGGCCACTGAAATATCCCAACAGGTTCAAAGTTACAGGAACTGGGTAAGCACTGGGCAGGCACAACAGGCACCTGCCAGTTACTAGTGACAGGATGCCTCAGTTCCGCCCAAGCTGAATAGCACAGCGAAACACTCACCAGTGAAGCCTGAGGTAAGAGCTGCCAGCTTCCGTGCCAGGGTGTCCTTACTGAGGCTTTCAGCCAACTTGAGTGGACGCAGATGGACTTTGAAGATGGAGGACCTGCCTTTGATGTCAGGGGGACCTGACAGAGCCAGAGAGAGACACCTCTTCTGAGTTCCATGGGCCTTCAGAACTGGACCCACACAGCCACTTCCCACAGACACAAGGACAGTCTGGAGAAGCCAGGATGCGATGGAGCAAACAGGCCAAAGTGCACATGCGTGGGGCTCTGCAGCACACAGGAACACCACTTTAACACCTGGCCCAGGAACAGATGACCTGACAGCAGATAAAACAAGCACAATGCAGAGAAGTAGGGGGCAGCCACACAGGACAATTATGCTTTGTTGAAGAAGACAAAGATGGTTGACCAGGCCGGGTGTGGTAGCACACGCCTGTAATCCCAGCACTTGGGAGGCTGAGGCAGGAGGATCACTGTGAGTTCGAGACCAGCCTGGACTACATAGTGAGTTCCAGGTCAGTCTCAACTACATAGTGAGACCCTGTCTCAAAACAAACAAAAACAAAACAAAAATCAAACAAACAAAGATGGTTGACCATTGTGAAGGGGAAAGGTTAAGTTTTTATTCTATTAACTATCAAGTCACTACGACACTGTCTGAAAGCAGACACTTGAGGACACCGTTTCATATCCCTGTCACTGTACATGCTGCAGTGATATGCTGATGGCCCTAACTATATCCCTTATTCTCACAAGTGGACTGCCAGAAGATGAGGCCCAGCAACAACATGGGATACGAGAGTCCACATTTTCAAAAAGTTACACTCATTACTTCAATACACTTCTCAGGTGACGAATTAGAAACAGCAAAAAATATATGACAAAATGTTCAACATCACTGGTCATGTGTGAAATGCAGATTAAAGCAATGCTGAGATTCCATCTCACTCCAGGAAGAATGGCTTCTACCAAGAAACTGAGGACCAGGGATTTCGCTCAGTGGTACCTGCCTCGCAAGAACAAAGTCCCAAGTTCAATTGCCGTACCAAAAAAAACCCCAAATAAAACAAAGAAAGAAATCAACCAATAACAAATGCTGGAGGGGCTGTGGGGAAAAAGGAACCCTTTTCCACTGCAGGTGAGAGTGTAGACTGGTGCAACTCTTGCAGAAATCAGTGTGGAGATTTCTCAAAAAATTGAAACCAGAGGTTCCACTTGACCCAGCTATACCTCTTTTTGGTATCTTCCCAAAAGAATTAAAGAGCATCACAAAAAAAAAAAAAAAAAAAAAAAAAAAAAAAAAAAAAAAAAAAAAAAAAAGAATTAAAAGCATCGCACCCCAGCAACACATGCATACCTATGTTTATAACAATGTGTAATAGCCGGGCATGGTAGTGCATACCTATAATCCCAGCACTCGGGAGGCTGAGGCAGGAAGATCACTGTGAGTTTGAGACCAGCCTGGGCTACATAGTGAGTTCCAGGTCAGTCTCAACTACATAGTGAGACCCTGTCTCAAAAACAACAACAAAACAAAACAAAAAAATGTGTAATAGCTAAGTCTTAGAAACAGCCCAAATGCCCATCAACTGATGAGTGGATAAAGAAGATGCGTTTTTGTTTTTTTTTGTTTTTTTTTAACAATGGAATACTATTCTGCCATAAAAAGATGAGCTTCAGGCATTTATAGCTAAATGGATGGACCTTGAGACCATACTCTTAAATGAAATAAATCACACACACATGTTTAAATACATTGTTTCCCTGGCTTGAGAAACTGAAAGTGGAATAAGGACTGAGATGTACAATGGATGCTGGGAAATGTGAAGAAAATGTTCAAATGTGGAGGGGAACAGGGAGGAGTGAGGGAGAAAAGAAGGGACAAGAAAAGAAGTGAAAATAAAAGGAAAAAATGGAAACAAAGCTTTTGTACACGGGGGGAGGGGGTTTGAGGAGGGGAGTGGGATAAAATATGTTTCCAAAAACATTAATTTAAAACCACCTCCAAACATACAGTGAACGAACTAAATGAACTTTAGCCCCACAGGCCAAGGCCCAGACCCAAGCATGTGAATCATGTGCACTCACCAATATAAATCTGGCGGTCAAAGCGGCCAGGGCGCATCAGGGCTGGGTCGAGGATGTCAGGGCGGTTAGTGCCTGCCAGCACCACTACATTAGTGGTGGAGTTGAATCCTGGATGCAAGAGAAGCAAGTGATCCAAAGGAAGGCATAGGCAGCACACCCAGTGTTCTTCAGCTCAGCCCACACTGGCTGTACTTCCCTCTGCTCACTGCACACGACTCCAGGGACTGAGAGTCCAGAATGAGCCCTGCCCAGCTGTCCCAGCTTAGGCTGGCTCTGAAGAACACCTGCTGACTCTTCCCAGGAGGGACCATTCAAAAAGGCTCCAATTTCTCAGGACTCACTATTCCCCCACCCCACCTGAGTCTCTAACGACAAGAAACCAGACAGCTCTAGAAGGAACATTCCTCTGTCACTCCATCCTATGTCTCTATGAAGGGACTGACACTTACATCCTAGTTTATCTCCCAGAGAAGCAGTATCCCTCACCCCTGCTAATCTCCTCCTGATAGAGGGCAGGGGGATGACGCTACTTCATCCTACTGCTCAGTAGGTGTACCAAGTGGACAGAATACTGCTTTCTCCACCGTGTCTGCCTGAGAGCAACCTCCTTTATGGGCTGAACAAATTCTGTTCCAAGGGACATCTTCACAGGAACAAAAGGGTAGGAAGGTCATGTGATTTTCTGCTGAGACACCACAGGTGGTGCTGACCACTCAGGCCCATGCCATTCCACTCACCATCCATCTCCACAAGCATCTGGTTCAGGGTGTTCTCCTGCTCACTCTGACCCCCAAGGTGCCCTCGGCCTCGCTTCCGGCCAATGGCATCAATCTCATCAATGAATAAGATACAAGGAGCGTTTTTCCTGGCCATTGCAAACATGTCACGGACCTGGAACAGGAATCCATAGTCTTTGTTATTCACACACATACCTCATTCCTAACCTTCTCCTTGGTGCTTATCATCTCGAGGGTGGGGCACACTCTGGACTCACACCAGAATCCCACACAAAGCACATGGCTACCCATTCTTAAACCGCAAGTGGGCACCCACACACCTACCCTTGCTGGCCCAACACCAACAAACATTTCCAGGAATTCTGACCCATTCACAGTGATGAAGGGCACACTGGCCTCCCCTGCAGTTGCTTTGGCAAGAAGCGTTTTGCCAGTACCAGGTGGACCAGTGAGTATGGCTCCCTATAACAGAAGGAGAGAGACAATTGGCACCCAAGTTCCAATTTCCACCTAGAAATTGGTCTTCTACACAGGTGACTCATCGAATTGACTAACAATCTCATCAAACACCAATCTTAAAGCCTATGGGTATTTATTTTAAATCTTTTTTGCTTATAAAATTACTACATACACACCACTCACCAGTTCACATATTGTAGACATGACACAGAAAACTGCAAGGTGAAACTTAAAAGAGGTGCTATGGGCTGTTCCATTTCTAGTTAAGGGTGCTGGGTTGATTTCAGATCATCTTAAAGCAGATCATAACTTTAAGAACAAATTTCAGATAAAAATGAGGAACAGGGCTAGACATGATGGCACAGGACTGTAACCCCAGAACTCCGAAGGCTGAGTCAGGAGGACTCCCTTCAGTTCAGGGCCAGCCTGGGCTACATAGTAAGTCCAAGGCCAGCCTGAACCACACAGAGATATCCTGTCTCAAAAAAAGGAAGTGAGGAAACAGACCACAAAACTCAAGACCACATGGTGCTGGAGTTCCACATGGGGAGGCCACACATGGTCATACAGTGTCCTTCTCCATACGTGGCTGTGGGATTTATACATCTCGCCCATGATACTGATGGCGTTAACACTCCCTAGAATGTGACGGTCTCAGGCGCCATCCTCGATAGTATGAGGACACTACAACAGAAAAGCAGCCAACTATACAACATGTCAGTGGTATATTTGAGAAGCATACCTGCTATGAACGCACAGCCAATTCTCTGTGTGGGGTGGAAGGGTGTTAATGGGGATGGGAACCAGGGTTTGTGCCTTCCAGGCAAATGTTCTACCACTGAGCTACACCTCCAGCCCCCCACTCTCCTTTTTTAAAATTTACTTTGAGATGAGGTCTCCCTAAGCTGCCTAGGCTGACCTCAAACTTGTGATCTTCCTGTCTCAGCCTCCCCAATAGCTGAGCTGACAGGTATGCATCACTGTGCCCAAATACAGCCAATTCTTCCTAACAAACTCCCAGAGGAGAGGAAGCAGTAATTTTGAGAAATCAGAATACTTCATACCCAGGAGGGGCTAGAAAGTCAGGTAGGCCCCAACTAACTCTTCTGACAGCCACATAACAGCAGGGAGCCTGTAATACAACACACAGGCTGAGAAAGGACCCTGCTTTCGGGAAACCAGACTGCTTGATGAAGAAGGGCTAACACTTCACTGAGATTCTCTTCTTGGTAACTAATGGTTCCACCCACTCCCCTGTTACAGGCATTTACCCCAGTAAATACAATCAACCAAAAGAAACTGGGAAAGCATTTGTGAGAAGCATCCACTCCAATGCCTGGCTACCAACAGAGGCGTACAACAGCTGGTGGCTGCTGGCAAAGCCCCACAAGGGTCACTCATTCACACGCTTGCCAACCCATAGAATAGACACATCCAGCCTCCTGTTCTGCTCCTCCTGATTCACACTGGTTGCTAAGCCTTTCTATGTTTTTCAGAACAAACTGTCCAGCAGTACCCAACTTGTAGGGAGGACGTGGGAAAGGTCAAGTCTACTGCAAGGGACAGGATGCCATATAAGCATGGTCACTACTACAACTGTTTAATCTGGTCCAGAGTAAAAAAAATGACTTAAAATGCCTATAACCCTATATGGGAAAAGAATCCATGGCTTCTGTCAAGCCTTTAAAGGGTCTATAACTGAGCTGGGGATTTAGCTCAGTGGTGCCGCTTCCTGCCTTGCAAGTGCAAGGTTCCAAGTTCAATTACCAGTACCAAAGGTGGGGGGGTACCATGGCTTCTGCACCCTTTGGGAACACCCCAACACACACACCAATCCCCTGTAGTTTCCTTTTCTGCCAAGAGGTCAGAGGCTTTTCAAGGAGCAGCTATTATTTAATCTAAAACCTGTTCGTTTGAGTTGTACTTGTTTTAATTATGGATGTGAGGGCTGGGGATGTACCTCAGTGGGATAGTGCTTGTCTAACATGCACAAGGCCCTGGGTTCAATTTCCAGTATCAAAACCAAAAAGTAATGACATTACATAAACTCATAAAACAGGAGCTAGAAATGCTTCTCTAAAAACTGAGGTGAAACCTAGTGAAGCCAGGTGCGATGGTGCATACCTACAATGTTAGCTCTCTAGGAGGCTAAGGCACAGGGATGCAAGTTGAAAACCAGTCTAGATAACTTAATGAGAACCTGTCCCAAAATAAAAAGGTGTGGGGACAGACCTCAGCACTCCCTGAGTTCAACCCCCAGGAGTGTTAGAAACAACAACAAGTAAGTTTAAAGCTCTAGATAGTAAAAGAATGAAAGCAAAATGTCTTCTAAAATGTTGCTGAGGCTGCCACAGGCCGCATGAAGAAGAGCTGGCAAGGCACCCAGCTCCTCAGCTTTGGCAGTGACAGCAGTGGCTGACACACTGACCATGAACCAGCAGAAGTTTCTGTGATATATGGAAGCTGTGATGCTTTGGGAAACTAGAATCCTCAAAATACTGTGGCTCTGCAAAACAATGAGACAGATGAAAGCATGCTATGGAAAGCAAACATCGTACCCACTAGAGGAATATCAGTTCAGTATTGCTACTTCAAAGGGCACGTTTCAGAACCAAAGAAGTCCTGTAATCCCAGCACTCAGGAGGCTGAGGCAGGAAGATTGCCACGAGTTCCAGGCCAGCTTGGGCTACATACTGAGACCCTGTCTCAAAAAAACAACAACGAAAAAGTTAAATTAAATGAGATTTTCGTGATTTAAAAAATGCTGTCAAGTATGTGGGAAAACTACAAAAGACTATCTCAAACTACTTCTAAATTCTTGCCTCACTTTAGAAAAATCTGTGGATATGTGGTTCATATACGACATTTAAAAAAGAATTCTTATAACTGAAAACAAAGATTGGCTCCTAGTGGAGAGCAATAAAGGAAAGTACATTTGTGCTTTGAGTTAAAAATAAACTTCACGTAGGTATCCATTGTTCCTATGCCCACATTTTAGAGATTTAAATTTCATAGGATTTTTAAGAACTGTGGTCTCAAATCCATCAGATTAAGAAGATTTTTACTGTTCTATTCTGAAAATGTTATTTTCATCCTCTACTATGATTAATAAAATACACAGGGCAAAAACTAATTTGTTGAATATCTGTCCCCCCTGAGCCACAGTAGTCATTAGCCTTGCCTTGAAGCTCAGAGCACTGCTGTTTTCTGAAATCAATACCTTTGGGATTTTGGCTCCTAAGTCCTGATACTGCTTGGGGTTCTTCAGGAAATTCACAAACTCCATGATTTCCAATTTGGCTTCTTCACAGCCAGCTACGTCTGCAAATCGCACATCAATGTTGTTCTTTAGGATCCTGGCTGTTGTCTCACCAATACTGAAGAGGCCTCCTCCTCGCCCACTGCGTCTGGCCCCCATTGGGCCTCTCCTCACAGCATAGAGAAGGATGCCAACCAGGAGAAGGGTGGGCACCAGGCTTCGCAGGAAAGAGCTAGAAAACCAAGAGAACTACTTTCCAATATTCACTCCAGAGAAAGGTCAGAACACCACTTTCAGTCAGGAAGAGCAGATAGCTCTAGAGCTTGTGCTGCCCAAAGGGGCAGTTTCTTCCTAAACTGTGTCCACATCAGTCCATGGGTTCAGCCTTCCCCACCCAACCCACCGTGCAGAAGGCCTGGTGGGACAGGGAAGGCAGTGGATGCCACAGCCTTGGGTGCCGCTGTCACACACCTTCCTCAGCGGCCCACAGACCTGCACAGCCCGCTGGTGCTAACAGCACCCATCCTGTCCTTGCACAGTCTCTTTTTCTTTCCTATATTCAATGATGCATCTCTTCCTCTTTTATCTATATTTTACTTTTTCACTTATAAATAAACAAAAAATGAGTGAGAGTTCTTGTGCCCTCCAGAGGCCAGCCTGGACAATACAGCAAGAGCCCATTTCAAAAAAGAAAGAAAAGATTAAATACATATTGCTTCATTACAGGAAGTATATAAATTTCAGCAGATGCCTGTAACATGCCTGAAAAGATGCATACTCCAAAACAGGTTACATGCTGAACTTTGGTGTTCACAACCAGAAGCCCTGACTAGTTTTGCATCATCCACCTCATCCCACAACTCACCCATCACTCTCAGTGGTGTAGACCACTGCAGCTTGGTTAGTGGGTTCGATCCCCAGCTCCCACTGAGCAGACTCCAGGTTGCGCTCAAAGGCATCAACACTGCCGATGTTGAACCACACGAACTTCTGCAGAGACCGAGAGCACAGATGGGCTGCAGCACAGAGTCCCACAAAAGCACACCCCTACGCACACCCACAGCCTCCATGCTCATTCACCAGCTCCTCTCTTAGCACAGTTCCTTCTCTTAGTCTTCATCACACACCTGGGCCAATCCTAAGGCTGGCTCCAAGGGTAACTGCAAACAGTAGAAACTCCTTTGTTCTAGTCCCACAAAACTGCATACTTTAAGTTCTAGACAAAAGTACATAAAATGCTGCAAACACCTGCCAAAGTTTGCCTCAGTCCTTTAGTCTTTGTATTTTCATTCTTCTCCTAAACCTTGTCCAGTGTTCTCACACACTGCCCGACAAAACTGAATCACAGTTAATAGTTTTATAAGAGCACCTATCCTACCTGAAAGACATGGTTACAAATATAAGATATGAGATAACCTCACAGTAACAGACTGATGGACACAGGCAGAGGTATTATACATGTTCCATTACAAAAAAAGGCTGGGTCTGGAATCCTAGGCCTCACCTCAGAAGAGGTCCCCGGGGCAGGAATAACCCGCACAAACTGTTTGTTCACAACTTCTAGCCGGTCCACCTAGGAGAAAGGGAAAAATATACAGAAGAGATAAGGCAGAAAGTAGGACACTCAAGCAAACCATGGACAGTGTAACAGGCTCCTATACCTGTGACCATATGCACTCTGCAGACCAAGTCCAAGTTCTGTTTTCCTACTAATTCAGATACTTCACCTGGGGCACAACTCTATTTCCATTTTAATAAACAGGAACCAAGGAATAAACTGAAAAAGAGTTTTTTGAGGGATCTGTTGTTTTTTTTTTTTTTTTTTTTTTTTTTTTTCTTGAGACAGGGTCTTGCTACACAGTTCAGGCTGGTCTTGAATTCACAGAGATCCTTCTTCCATAGTCTCCCAAACAATACTATCACAGGCATGCACCACCACACCTAGCTAAGAAGTCTCTAAATTTGGTACATCTGAGCATCAACATCCCAGACTGGCTTAAAAACTCAAAAAGGTCACAAACAAGTTTTACACTGACAGTAGAGCAAAGATAAATACACAGGTGATTCAGAAATATTTTTTTCATCTAGCTGCAGGTATAAGACAACAAGAGCAAGGCTGGGGATTTGGCTCAGTGGTTCTGCTGCCTGCCTCAAAAGCACAAAGGCCAAAATTCCACCCCCCCCTACCAAAACAAAAAAACGAAAGAAAGAATGATAAAAACGAAGCCCTGAAGGTTCATGAGCTGTCATGACCAGCAGACAAAGCAACGTAGAGAATAAGAGAAGCAGTGTAGAAAAGACTCTTGAGGGTACAATGACCATACTGTTGTTTCTTCTATTTCATCAGAGAATCATTTTTTATTTGTCTGTTTGTTTTTGGTGAGACAGGGTCTCACTATGCAGTCTAGGCTGGCCCTGAACTCACTATATAGACTGGGTTGGCCTCAAAATCACTATAATCCTCTTGCATCAGCCTCCCAAGTTTTGGGATTACAGGTATGCACTACCATACCTGGTTCTCATCACAGAATCATACTTTTGTTTTTCAATACAGGAAATTAAACCCAAGGAGCTCCACCACTGAGCTACATCTTGAGCCTTTTTCATTTTTTATTGTGATATACAATCCTAATAAATAACCATGCCTCAGCCTCCCTCAATGCTGGAATTATAGGTGTGCATCACCATGACACATGAATCATGTGTTCATTAAGCAGGACTCTTCCAGCCATAACACCATCAGTATGCCAGCACTGGAAAAGACCTCAGAGAAGCTCTGGAATCCGTCCAGAACCCATGCACTGGAAGGCATCCTGAGCTCACCATCTCCACCTCCCCTCCTCTCTCCTGAACCTGCAGGTGGCAGACCCACAGCAAGTAAGGACTGCAGCAGCTCTGCCCCCCACTACTGTAAGGAAAGTTGCCAAGAGTCTCCCTGGTGATAGGCATGGCCCCGGTAGTCAGACAAAAACCCCTGGCCACAAACTCTGGAGGTAAACAAGAGATTCATAAAGACCTTATCACACAGAAGTGCATAATGCACATTACTTAGCAGAACATTTCCAAGGGCACCTGAGAGGCAACACGTCTTTTCAGTTTACACTGAAGCCTCAGCTGTCTTCACCCAGCCTCAGCATCTTGATGAACAAGCCTGACTCTCATGAAAGGTAAGAGAGGACTCCCCAGGCCACACGTTCTTCCATACAAAGCCCTAGACCCAGTTCAGCGTGGTGATGCATGCCCATAATCCCAGCACTTGGAAGGCTGAGGCAGGACAGTCATAAGATCAAGATCAGCCTGGGGCTGAGGATTTAGCTCATTGGTGCTGCACCCTGCCTTGCAAGTGCAAGGTCCAGAGTTTGATCCCCAGGACCACAAAAGTAACAACAAAAAAAAAAATCAGCCTGGGTTACATAGTATGTTCAAGGCCAGGATGGGTTACATGACAAGAACCTATGTCTAACAAACCAACAAACAAAGACCCCAAACTCCTGGCCAGCAATGCCCCAGGACACAGTATAAGAATCAGATATAAAATTGAAATTCAACAATCAATGGACAAACAAATAAGTCTCAGAGGCTTGAAAAACAGACCATGTTGTTAAAGCAGCCTCTACCCAGCCAGAAAGCAGGCCTAACACCTTTCTGTAGTTTCTAGAAAAGGAAAACTGCCTCTGGGCTTTGCCCTAAAGTACTCAAAACATCCACCACACAAAGCACTGAATCCCAGCCTGGAGCTCACATCCTCTTCCCTGCCCGGCTGAGCAGGCCTCCAGGGGCCCACACCAAAGCATGTTCATTCCCAGTAAATAAGCTAAGAGTTTGCTCACCAGGCCTCTGGCCAGGTAATACTGCACAAAGTGCTTCCAGGTGATTTCTTTTCCAGGATCTCGAAAATACAAGTAGAAAACTCCTACAGCAACGCCTGCTCCCAAAACGGCCAGATTTCGGAAATCCTTGTCATCCCAGGGAAACTCTCCCTGCGGAAAAAAAGAGAACATATTTCCCAGGTAAGTGAGGAGTTATTTTTTCTCCCTGCAGTGCTGGAGACCCAACCTGGGGCCTGCCCATGCTAAGTGAGTGCTGAGTTACACCCTCAGCCCTAGGGTGATTTATGAAAATATTTCTCTTTTCAGAAGTTATTAGAGTTGTCCAAACCATCCCCTCACAAATTACACAAAGGGCCCCAGGTGTGTCATGAAGCAGAACCATTCCTCTCTGGAGAAAAAAACTTTATACAGGCTGGAAGCACACATCGCACCTGCAGTCAAGCCCATGAGCAGCAGAAACCCATGAAGAGCTCTGCTCTAGAGCCATCATCTGGGTTCTCTTTTTTTCTAAGTCTTCAAAAATTCAAGCAGACAGGCAACACAGCTTAAGAATCTTGGAAGTAATTTGTGAGTTTGGCCCTGAGCAAGCAAAGATTGCTATGGCTTGAATATCACGAGAGAGCTTTAGCCTAGGGTGAAACTGGGGGGGGTGCTTTGGGAAACGGGGGCTCCACACTCAGAAATGGGATTCGTGTTTCCTTGTTAAAGGGCTTAAAAGTTAAAAAAAGGGAGGGAGGGCTTGAAGAAAAGAGCTGGTCTCTTCCACCATGCGAGGACACTCCACTTTCTCTCCGGAGGAAGCAGCACTCAAATGCCATGAAAGATGCCTTGGAAGCAGAGATCAAATGCTCACCTGACACTGGACCTTGCACTTTCCAGCCTGCATAACTGTGAGCACATGGTATTGATAAATTACTCAGGATAATGTATTTTGTCATAAGAGTAGAAATGGACTAAGACAAAGATCCCAGAACCTTAGCTCTGCAGGCACTACATCCTTTGGCAAATTGACAAGATGTTGGCCCACTCCTGAGATGCACACAAACCTTCTGTATCTGTTTCCACCAGGCAAAATTATCCCTCTTCCCTCCTCTCTTGCCTCCATCTTTTCCAGGCCCAGCATTCTTTGGTTCACCAGTTTCTAAGAAAAAACAAAGCTGAATTATGAGACATGGTAAAAATTTGTATAAATTTTAAGAATAAAACTTGAGTCTTCATAGAAGTATTCCACTTGTAACAAGGCACATTACCACAGATCCTGGTAAGCTTTTATGTATTTCTTCCCATTTCTTATTCATGAGTACCTAAAAAGGGGTCTTCACAGGAAAAGCATCTGATAATACTGACTCTGATCCCAAAACCCAATTCACATCACCAAACTGTGATATGATTAAAACATGATTCACTGAGAACTAGATCCAAAGAAACTGCAAAGGCACAGAAAGATGAAGACAAAAATAAAAGACAGAGTGACTAGGGAGCAAACGTCAGCACTCACAAATAAGCACCCAAAAGGAAAGGTCAACCTCACACATACAGGACCACATGCCTGTCACATCCTAGGAAGATTAACCCACAAACTAGTAAATACTTCAAAAATACTCAGATGTACAGCTTTACCTTTTTTTGGAGCTCTTGATTTGTCTGAGTCTGTGTTTTTTCCACTCCTCTTAAAGAATTTCTCAAACCCTTAGGGATAAAATGAAGAGGCTTTAAAGAAAAAAAATTATACTCAAAGAAACAATTCAACCAAAGCAAAATAAGAGACTTCTGAAGATGGGAGAGTAGTAAGCAGCAGAGAAAGAGCCTCTCCAAGGTTTGGTGTCCTGACACTGGAATATAATGGTGTGAGGAAGAGGAGAAGGAGGGAAGTGGGTCCCTGGGACCCAGGAAGGAGAACTGAAGTCCACAGGGAGAGTGAAGAAAAAGACATTAACAAAGAGGAAAGAGGTAGTAAGCAGCTCTCTCTCCCAGAGCCTGGACTCACAGCATGTGAATGACAGGCTGAACCTCCAGGCACAAGGTAACTGTTGGTGACGCCAGAGGCCTCCAGAGAGAAACTCATCAATGGAACAGAGCAGTGGATACAATGGACTCCAGTGGCTGGTGAGTTATCTGGGTTCAGAACTCACCCAAGAGAGGGGGAATCAGCCAATACCCATGTTAGAGAGGAGCCAATTGAGCTTGGAACTCAGAAGAGCCACACACAGGCCAACCCCATCTAGTAGTTCCTAGTGCTTTAGTGCAGGTGCTGAGTTCAAGTCAGCAGGAGGTCAGGGAGCAGAGTTCAAGTCAGCAGGAGGCACAAAGACTGTTGTAGGCTCAAGAAATCTGGTTCCAGACTCATATTCAGAAACCAGCCTGAATTTCAGAGGAACTAAAGGTGCAGGCTGACTGGGATTATCCATTACCATGTGAAGCTGTGGCTGGCTTGCTGGGATTAATCAATTTAACTCTGTACTCTGTTTGTCCATGTTGCCTACGAGTGACATCAGAGATACACCTTGAATTGGGATTTTATTTTCCTTTTTCTTCTTTTTTAATTTCTTCTTCTTTTTTCATTTCTTGTTTTCCTCCATTCTGGTTCTTTTTGTTTGTTTCTTCTTCTTTGAACATACTTTCTAGTTTTTTTGTTGTTCTGTTCTTGTTATTTTTTTCTTTTTCTCTTTCCCACCTGTCTTCTTCACCAGTTTCCTAAAGTTTGTCCTTCGGCCTTGCTTCTGATCTCTTCTTCTATTTGTTTTTTCTCCCCTAACCCTTTAAAATCTTCTCTCCTAAGGCTAAAATCACCATATTAAGGCCTTAATAATTACATACAATTTTATGATTTGTTCTAAATTTCATCCTATAACCACAAATCTAGTTCATATGGTTAAAGGTAGCAAATTAATGGTTACCACAGTCCATCATTTTCTAGGCTGTATTTGATATTATCATTATTGGTGACTGTACTATTTAGCCAAGGTGACATAATTGTGCTAATTATAGTTATGCATTTACATAAGCATGTTCTATGAGCTAGTATGTGGTCTATTTTGGAGACCATTCCATGTGCAGCTGAGAAGAATGTGTAGTATGGTGTCGCGGGGTGGAATACTCCAGGAGAATCCGATGATTTTCCTGGTATACCAAGACTGAGATTGCCCAAGGGTCTTTGTCAAAGAACTGGCAGCTGAGTCAAGTAGGCATAAACTTCTCATCCCCAGTAAATAGAAAAGGTAGGATCTAGCAACACATTAAAAACCAAAAGCCTGCTACACTTGGAAGACACTTGAGCAGTAGTCACTTCCTAAGGGCTCTGAATATTGGCAATAAATCTACTCACCATTAGCAATTTATAAGCATCAACCCAGGAATCAAATTTAAAAAAAAATATATATATAAGAGTAAACGCTTAAACCAGATGCAATGCCCAAGACTTTCAGCTCACCAGAGACAAACTCCAGGGGCAATGAGGCGGAATAATCCAAAAACCACCCACCTAGACTTTCTGAAATGGAAATAGCAGAAGTAACAAAGCAGATGAACAAGACTCTAGAAAAAAAATCAAAGCAGAAATAATTTCCCAGGTTAACTACAGAGATGGTGACCAGAATGAAAGACATACTTAGTGACTCTAGAGTAGATACAGATTTTAAAAATAGAGCAGCATGATGGGAACATGATGGGAACCATCAATACCCAGCACAGGAAAGAAATGGAAACCATGAACTCACAGCACAGAAAAGAAATGAAATCCATTTGAATCTGTTAGAGTCAAACAAGGGCCAGAGCTTTAGATCAGTAGGATCCTGAGTTCAATCCGTAGTACAAAGAGAGAGAGAGAGAGAGAGAGAGAGAGAAAGAGAGAGATTCAAACAAATATCCAGGAGATTAAAAACTCCATTGAGCTGGACTGGTGGCACACGCCTGTAAATCCAGGACTCGGGATGCTAAGGCAGGAGGATCATCATGAGTTCAAGGCCAACCTGGAATATATAGTTGAGTCCAAGGCCAGCCTGAACTACACAGTGAAACCTTGTCTCCAAAAACCAAAAAAAAAGGGGAGGCTGGGGATTTAGCTCAGTGGTGCCACCACTTGCAACTTGCAAATGGGAGGTCCTAAATTCAATCCCCAGTTCCAAAAAAAACAACAATAAAAAAAAACAGAAAACAAAAACAAACTCCATTGAAAGTACGTGCAGCAACATGAGCCAATATGAGGACAGAATATCAGATATAGAGGACAGGATTGTCGTCAGTGATCATGAAAAGAGAGAGACTTTTTAAAAATAGAAAGGGACCCTGAGAAATCAATCCAGCAGCTACTAGATGATACAAAGAAGAATAACATAAGATTGACTGGAGTCAAGCAGGAGACAGTGCAGATGACATAAAAAAAACATGTTCACAGAAGTAATGGCAGAAAGGCCAGAGATTTAGCTCAGTGACACCACATCTGCCTTGCCAGCACAAGGTCCTGAGTTCAATCCCCAGTACCAAAAAAAAAAAAAAAAAAAAAGTAATGGCAGAAAACATTCCAAATGGAAAAAGAATCTGACGTACAAATATCAAGATTCCAGAAACTCAACACAAGGAATGAGTATTAAAAGCTGTTAGAGAAAAGAAACCAATCACCTATAAAAGAAAGCCCATCAGAATCAGAGCAGACGTCTCAATACAAACTCTCAAGTCAAGGAGAGCTTGAAGTATTTCAAGCCCTAAAGGAAAAAAACCTTCAATTCAGACTGATGTGCCCTGAAAAAACTATCTTTCAAAACTGATGAAAAAATAAGATACTTCCATGACAAAGAACACGTGAAGAAATTCATAACCCCCAACCAGCACTTCAAATTGTTCTAAAGAATATTCTAGAAAAAGAAACAAGGATTACAACTCCATAAACCCCAACAGAATGAATCCACCAGGCAAGATAAGAAATTACACAGAAAAAGAAAGGATGCCAACAACAGGAAAATAACATGACAGTGATGAGACAATACATATCAGTTATAACCATCAATGTAAATGGTCTCAATTCACCAATCAAAAGAAACAGACTGGCAGAATGGATGAAGAAGCAAAATCCAGGGCCAGGGATGTAGCTCAGTGGTGCTGTGTCTGCCTGGCAAGTGCAGTCTTAAATTTGATTCCCCATACTGGAAAAAAATGATTAAGAAGCAAGATCTTGGGCCAGGGATTTAACTCAGTGGTGCCAGCGCCTACCTTACAAGTGCAAGTTCCTGAGTTCAATCCCTAGTACCCAAATAAAAGCAGCAACAGCAAGATCCAACAATATGCTGCATACAAGAAACACATTTAATTAAAAAACAAATTCACAGACTGAAAGTCAAAGGATGGAAAACAATATTCTATGTGGCAGGAACCCAGAAAAAATCAGGGGTAGTTATTCTATTTGCAGACAAAGTGGGTTTCAAGACAAGACTGATTAAGAGAGACAAAGAAGATCACTATATCCATTGAAAGGGAACAATCCAAGAGAAAGACATTACAATCATAAATATATATGCACCAAATACCAGTGCACACAACTATATAAAACAAATATTTACAGATATGAAAAAATCATACAATCACTAATACAGTTAATAATGGGGAACCTCAGTACCCCACTTTCACAAACAGGTCAACCAAATAAAAATTAACAATTAAGTATTAGAAAAATATTAAAAATATTAGAACTGACTCATACTTTTGAACATATGGACTTTTACTAGATGTCTACAAAGTGTTCCACCCCACAACACCAGAATATACATTCTTCTCAGCTGCACAGGGAATGGTCTCCAAAATAGACCACATAGTAGCTCACAGAAAATGATAAATGCAAAAGAACTGAAATTATTCCATGCATATTGTCAGATCACAGTACAATGAAACTGGAAATCAATAGCTAAGAACTTCATAAACACATGTAAATGAAATAACACCCTCCAGAACAACCAACCAATGGGTCACAGATGAAACTAACGAAGAAATCAGGGCCAGGGATTTAACTCTGTGGCACTGCACCTACCTCACAAGCCCAAGGTCATGAGTTTGATCCCCAGTTACAAAAAAAAAAAAAAAAAAAAAAAAAAAGGAAATCTGATAGTTTCTACAATTAAATGATAATGACAGTACAACATAGTGGAACTTGTAGGATGCAATGAAAGCAGTCTTACAAGGAAAATTTAGAGCAGTGAATAACCATATCAGGAAAACAGCAGGTTCAAATAACCTAATGCTGAAACCTCAAGTTTCTAGAAGAAGAAGAGTAAGTCAAGCCCAAAACTCATATGAGGGAGGGAATTATAAAAGTAAGAGGTAAAAGTAGAGGGCCAGAAAAAAAAAGGGTGGACAGCCAGGGATATAGCTCAGTGGCACCGCACGTGCCTTGCAAGTGCAAGGTCCTGAGTTCAATCCCCAGTACCAAAATGAAACAACCACCAAAAAATAAGAGTAGTGCCACGACCACTCCAGTGGAGTCTGCGTGACAATGCCGGCCACCTGGCAGAAACCAGACCCGAGGTATCGTCCCCATGGGGTTAAGCCTCCTGGAAGTCCTTGGCACACACCGCATGCAAAGTCAGCCGTGAAGAGAATAGCTGGCCTCTCTGCCTGCAGTTTGGGGACATTGGGTTCATTCATAATTCTGTTCTATTTTGTCTTTATTACTATTTGTTCATTATCTGTAGAATTGTATTCTGGGCCCAGGAAAGATCAGGAACAATTAGATGTTCCTAGATGGGGCGGTGGTGTTGGGGCACAAGAGGACGGGCGGCCAAAGTGCTGACCCTGAGCCCCGGACTGCGAAGTCCTGAAGGTGATCCTGAAGGTGACATGCTGAAGCCAGTCCTTTGTTTTACAAACTTCCCCTTCTGACTGCATATAGGTGTGGTCTTACCTTGACTTAGTGGTCTTAGCTTTTGTGATTGTATATAGGTGTGGTCTTACCTTGACCTTATGGTCTTAGCTTTTACAGTACTACTGTCTATCTTTCTCATGCCTGCTTGTGACTGAAATCACTCTTGAGGTGTGCCCTTGAAACTAGTATATATACACCTAGAGTTAGAAATAAAATTGCAGCAGCTACTACCTTCACTACTCAGTGCTGTGTGGTTTCTGACTGTCGCCGCCGAACCTGCTCCCACCTTTCTGAAGATCCCTGTTCTCCTTGTGAAATCCAGTCTTTGCTCCCCTACGGTCGGTAGCAGAGTAGAAATTAATGCAATGAAGACTAAAAAAATAAGGAAAGAAAGACTCTATGAAGGGGGTCGGGGATTTAGCTCAGGGGTTCCACTGCCTGCCTTGCAAGCACAAGGTCCCAAGTTCTATCCCCGGCACCCCCCGCAAAAAAACAAAAAACCCACCAATAAAGAAAAGCCCAGCACTGATGGATACACTGCTGAATTTTACAAGAAATTTAGAGAAGACCTACTTCTCAAACTCTTTCATGAAACTGAAAGGAAAGCAATACTCCCAAATTCATTCCTGGAAGCAAGCATTACCTGAATCCAAACCCAGAGGATATAACCAAAAAAGAGAAATATAGACCAATTTCCCTAATGAACATAGATGCAAAAATTCTCAATAAGATTCTGACAAACAGAATGCAGCAAATCATCAAGAAGGTTATATACACCATGACCAAGTTGGACTCATCCCAGGGATGCAGGGATGGTTCAACATACACAAATCAATAAATGTAACACACTTTAGGGCCAGGGATTTAGCTCAGTGGCACCACACCTGCCTCGCAAGCACAAGGTCCTGAGTTTGATCCCTAGTACCCCCGCCAAAAGTAATACACTTTATTAATAGAAACAAAGACAAAAACTATATGATCCTCTCAATAGATGCAGAAAAAGCATCTGACACCGGAGATTTGGAGATTTGTCAGTGGTTCCATCACCTGCCTTGTAAGCACAAGACCCCGAGTTCAATCCCCAGTACAAAAAAAAAAAAAAAGCATTTCACAAGGTCCAATATCCAATCATGACAAAAACCTTACAGAAAATTGGTATAGGTGATTTTTATCTCAATTTGATAAAAGCCATCTATGATGAACCAACAGCCTACATCACACTAAATGGGTAAAATCTGAGAGCTTTCACTCTAAAATCAGGAATAAGCACATTCCTGTAATTCCAGCACTTGGGAGGCAGAGAGGGAAGGATTATGTATGTCTAAAATGTACCAATAAGGGCCGGGAATTTAGCTCAGTGGTTCCACCACCAGCCTCATAAGCACAAGGTCCCCAGTTTGATCCTCGGTACCAAAAAAATAAATAAATAAAATAAAATGTACAAATAAGGACTGAGGATTTAGCTCAGCAGCACCACACTTGCCTGGCAAGTGCAAGGTCCTGAGTCCAATCTCACCAGACAAAAAAAAAAAAAAAAAAAAAAAACACACAAGTTCAAACCCCGCTTGTGGAATATAAAATGTACCAATAAATGTATTGCTATTTTTTAAAAAACAAAACAAAAGCAGAATAGAGAGAAAAGTCAGTTATTTTTCCTTTCTTCTTGACATAATCAACAAGCAACCCCAGGTCCCAATATTGGGATAAGTGCTGAGGAGTGTCTTCTACTACGTGGAGACACAGGTCTCCAGGCAGTTCAATGAGCACTGTCCCTGCACATAGAGTATAGGCTCAGTCCCACTGCCTATGATGAAGGGCTTCCAACAGATAATTGTTCTCCAAGCTAACTACAGTCTGCACATTATCTGTTTTACTTTTAAAACATGAGGCTCAGCTGGTCCTCAGAATCAGATATGCAAAAACAAAGGTTTGCTCCCCTATTTTCCAAAAGAACTCATCATTTTCCTTCTGAAAATTTATCTCTTGTCAGTCTCAGTGAGAGAACAAAATGATAAAAGCACGGAGAAACTGCTATAGTTTAGCACAATAGGAAAACTAGAAAAAAGGGAAGGGTCATCCTATATGTCATGTGGCTTGTCCACTGGTTATCACTATGGGAAACACTTCAAGGAAGCTACGCACCTCATACTGCTAATGACAGTAGAGAGAAGACAGGTACCTTTGGGTGATTTTGAACACAGCCGTTGGGAAAATGACGTCAGTCTCCCCCGCAGAGACAGTTGCTGAAAGTGGACTCCCTGGAGGCACTGAAGTAGGAGAGAAAGGATTATTCGATGAGCTCCTTCTGCAATACACGCAATATTTTCTACCAGTGCCCACCACAACAAGCTGAAAGGGATAGAATGTGGGCTAGGGTATAAACTCACTGCCCTTATTCATCTGCTTAAATATCCCATTAAAAATATGGTTCATGGCCGGGCGTGATGGCGCACACCTGTAATCTCAGCACTTGGGAGGCTGAGGCAGGAGGACTGCTGTGAGTTCGAGACCAGCCAGAGCTACATAGTGAGACCTGTCTCAAAAAAATTGGTTCATGGAGCCAGGGATTTAGCTCAGTGGCACTGTGATTGCCTCACAAGAACAAGGTCCTGAGTTTGATCCCCGGTACAAAAAAAAAAAACAAAGGTGAGGTCTCTATATAGTTCAGACTGGTCATGAACACTACATGATTCTCTTGCCTCAGCTTCCTGCATCCTGGGGTTACAGGTATGTGCTACATGCCCAGCAAAAATACCAGCTTTTTACCATACACAGCTAACTTTACTTATCACATGATCAAGAATACAACTAAAAGAGCCGGGCATGGTGGCGCACACCTGTAATCCCAGCATTCTGAAGGCTGAGGTAGGAGGATCACTATGAGTTCGAGACCAGCCTGGGCTACATAGTGAGTTCCAGGTCAGTCTCAAATACATAGTGAGACCCTGTCTCAAAAAACAAAAAAAAAGAATACAACTAAAAACAGTTTGTTTACTATTCAGGGTCAAAAGCCATTACAACCAAATCTACAATAAAGTGGCAATATTTTTTTAAAAGTCTAAGCACTGTCAATAATCCAATTTTAACTGTATTAACAAAATCCCAATGTAACCAAAGTATATGGTTTGTCTCCACTATTTTATTATGATGAGCTGGACCTGCAGGTGATAACACCTGTGTTATTTCAGCTTGTGGACATTTAGGATGAGGCAAGTTCTATAGGCTATTACCCCAACATAAACCCGTTTCCTAATTACTGCTAATTAAATTATTCCAATATCCCCTTCAAAAGACACAGTGGACTAAAATGTAAGGTAAGCCACAAGGAACATGTTAAAATAAGGGGATGAGTTGGGTGTAGCGGTGGTGCACACCTATAATCCCAGCAATTAGGAGGCTGAGGCAGGATTGCTATGAGTTTGAGGCCAGTTTGAGCTACATAGTGAGTTCAAGGCCAGCCCAAACTACATAGTGACAGCCATTCTCAAAAAAAAATCATGTATTAAGCCAGGCATGGTGGCACATGCCGGTAATCCCAGCACTTCAGAGGCTGAGGCAGAAGGATCACAATGAGTCTGAGGCCAGCCTGAACTATACAACAAGACCTGTCTCAAAAAACTAACGGGGCAAGGCCCCGAGGGCGGGGCGGGAGGGGGTCACACTAAAAAAATAGAATCAAGAGAATCCAAACAAACTCAGAAAGGAAACGCTGGCAGCAATGGTGATGACACTACACCACCAAACATAAAGGTTGTAAGGTGAACAAGGACTTCTGAATTGTGAGTTAATCCACCTGTTGCATTTTATTATCCCAGTGCCGATGGGACAATACCTGACCAAACCCCTACGACCTTATGTAGCTCAGCGATCCCTGCGTTCAATCCCCAGTACCACAAAAACACTGAGGTCCACAACACTTCAGAGATCCAAGAGACATCTGTGCTATATAAACCTGTACATATTAACTTCACTTATGTTCAACATGTTAATAACAGCCCTGTGATACTGACGTGCAATATGCACACAAGTAATACTTACGTACATTTTCCATAATGAATAGAGGTGAAAATTTATTCCTGAGGATAAGAAACTCATGGAATCTTTCTTCCTATTTTACTCACTATGGTCTGAAAATCTATGTAAGTGTGTCACAGCAAAATTTAATGTGACTGTCCAATGGAAACTAAAGCAACCTTAAAATTTTGGGCTATCCCATGCTTTTTCCTTTCCACAAATAAGGTTAAGGCAATACCTACCTACTGGCTGCACCAAGCCCTCAAGCGATAGCTGTCACCAAAGCATTACAGTTGGGTTCAACAAATGTTCGCTGACTAAAGAATACCCTAACAGTACACAAAACTCTTTCTCATCCACCACCAAATCAGGCGGTAAAAGCAACTCTGTCCGGTAAAGAGACGTTATTGCCACTGGGCTTTGGAAGACCGCAGAGCTCGAAGTCGGAACAAGCACCAAAGCAAATTCCTCCACGCCTGGCACTGCAGAGCTGAACGAGGAGGCTAAAAGTCTACTCAGTTCTGGAGAATGTGAAGATGGACCACGGAGCGCGGGAAGGTGCGTGGTTGCAAGGTGCGAACTACCCCCGCGGTACTAGGAAGGAGCCCAGATCCTCCAGGAGGAAGCGGGCTCTATGGCCCTCACCCCCGACGCAGACTGCGGCGCAGACTAATTGCGTCACAGCGACAACGCGTACAGCCCCGCCCAGAACCAGAGAGCAGTACCTCTCTCCTCACCTGCCGGGCGGTCCCGAGGATCCTCACACCGGTTCCGACTGTTCCGCCGCCTCCT